CCCTTCTGTGACTGGCTTATTTCACATGGCAAGGTTGATCCATGCTGTAGCATGTGTCAGAATTTCCTTCCCTTTGAAGGCTGAGTGATATTCCTGTATGGATAGAACACATTTTGTGCCTCCATTTGTCTGTTGCTTCCCCCTTTTGGCTATTGTGAATAACGTTGCTATGAGTTCAGGTGTATAAATGTTTGTTAGAGTTCTTGATTCCAATTCTTTTTGGTATATATATATCTCCAGAAGTGGAATTGTTGGATCATATGGTAATTCTATGTTCTTTTTTTTTTTAGAGACAGGTGCAGTGGCTAGTCACAGGCACGATCATTGCACACTGTATCCTTGAACTCCTGGAGACAAGGAACCCTCCTGCCTCTGCCTCCTAAGTAGCTGGCATTATAGGTGCCTGCCACCACACCCGGCTAATTTTTCTATTTTTAGTAGAGATGGGGTCTCACTCTTGCTCAGGCTGGTCCTAGAGGGTTTAAAGAAGGGAAACAATACAATCTGAGATTTTAAAAAGACCCCTGTGTTCCGTGTGGCTCCATAGGGCCTGTGTATGCACACGTGTGTGTGTGTGTATGGTGTACGTGAAAATCATGCTTGGGCCAAGGCAGGGGTCTGGGCCGTGCTGGGTGATCCAGCTACCAACCCCGACTCCTGGTGCATGTGGTACATTCTAGGTCATCCTGCGGGATCTGCTCCGCTTCCTTCTGGTCTACCTGGTCTTCCTTTTTGGCTTCGCTGTAGGTAAAGGCCTCCACCCCTGCCTGTCCCTGCTGGCCCTGTGCACCCTCAAGGCTGCGGGCTGGGCTCCCCAGGCTGAGGACCCCTCTCTGTCCATCTTGCAGCCCTAGTGAGCCTGAGCCGGGAAGCCCTGGACCCCAGGCCCACCGTAGGCCCCAGGCCCACCGTAGGCCCCAATACCACGGAGGCGGCAGGGCAGCCTGGGGCGGGACAGGAGGATGAGGAGGGCGTTGAGGTCCCGTACCGGGGCATCCTGGACGCCTCCTTGGAGCTTTTCAAATTCACCATCGGCATGGGCGAGCTGGCCTTCCAGGAGCAGCTGCGCTTCCGCGGGGTGGTGCTGCTGCTGCTGCTGGCCTATGTGCTGCTCACCTACGTCCTGCTGCTGAACATGCTCATTGCCCTCATGAGCGAGACCGTCAACAGGGTCACCAATGACAGCTGGAGTATCTGGAAGCTGCAGGTGAGAATCCCTCCACCGCCAGGCACCAGGTCGGAGAAGCTCTCAGGTGTGAAGCGCTCAGGCTGGCTCCCTCAGTGCGCCCCCACCTGGCGGCATTATCAACAAGTATTTCCTGAGTGCCCACTACTGGTAGAGCAGGGCACAATTCTGGGTGCTACACACAAAGCAGGGACCTAGACAGAGTCCCTGCCTTCACGGTGCTCTCAGTCTGTGTTCCCTGTATGTTAAATGGGGTCAGTTTGGTGGGGAAGATGGCCAGGATGTGAAGTTCTGGACTGGCCCTGCCTGGGGCATTAGGGAGCAGAGTCACCTGGAGCTGGGGCTTATATGATACTCACCTTCTCTCTAATGAGAGAAGAGCAGTACTGGGTGAGTCCAGGGAGGCTGGACTCTGCTGCTAATCCAGTGTTGGTGCCTTTGGGAAGCCCCTTATCTTCTCTGAGCCATGAAGCCCTCCCCTGCAAAGTGCACACATGTGGGGCAGAGCAGGTGGAACTTGGGGTGTGGAGTCCTGGAGCCCGGGAGGATGTTAGAGCAGGCAGTTGTCAGGCACTTGTAACCTGCTTACATCCTGCAAACCATGGGAGGAACATGTGGGGAGACAGACTGTAAGTGGGGAAACTGAGACTCAGAGAAGTAAAGGCCTGGAGTCAGATTCAAACTCACATGCTCAGCTGACTTTGGGCTATACTGTAAAGTGTTGTGGCACATCTTCCTGCTTCCTTGGCCCTGTGCACCTTTCCCTCCAGGCAGAGTTCCAGGCTGCTCTGTCTGATGCGTCCTTTGTCCCCAGAAAGCCATCTCTGTCCTGGAGATGGAGAATGGCTACTGGTGGTGCAGAAGGAGGAAGCAGCGGGCAGGTGTGAGGCTGACCGTGGGCACCAGGCCAGATGGCAGCCCTGATGAGCGCTGGTGCTTCAGGTGAGTGAGGGGAGGGCAGGGCAGCCTGGGGCCCTTGCTAACCAGCAATCCTTGCTGTCAAGGCCAACCTTACTGTCCTGAAAGCCAGGTATGATGAGAAAGGCAGGGCTGAGGGGACTATGCCCAGGCAGGTGAGGTCAAGGATCCTGGATCCTATAGGCCACAGCAGCCACTGTGTCTGGCCACTTGCCTGTCCCAGTGGCTTAAACTGAAGGTTCCTTCCTGGTGATCTCTGACCCCTTGCCTGGCCTGACATGTGGCACAGTGAAGAGGCCAAGAAACCAGAGGCTTCTCCATGAGCTGCCCTGCCCTGGCTTCTCTCCTCCCTCACCCCATTTCTCCTAGCTACCACTGTGAGAAACAGCCCTTCTGTGCACAGGGAAGGCTGGGGCTCTGGGAAACGAAATCTGGTGACAGTTGCACAGCCCGAAACAGACACTTGTGAGGAAGCAGCCAAGCAGGGAGACAGGGAGTCTTAGGCCTGTGAAACAGCCTTGAAAGGGCCCCAGAACCCATGAGCACAAAGGCACCCTGTGCTGAATTCCTCTTCTCTGGTTGCTCTGGGCAGCCCTGGATTGCTGTGAACAGCTGGAAGGGATGGATGCTCCTTCCTCCACCTGGACACCTGGCCCTGGGGGCTGCAATCTTATAGCCACAAAGATGGGGTTCCAGGTGGGGTGTGGGAGGTGGCCCAGTGCCCTGCAAAGAAAGCCTACCTCCTTGCTGTCCCTGGGACAAAGCAGGCTAGATCCCTGTCTTCCCAGGGCCTCAGAGCCATTCTGTCATCTCAGGGTGGAGGAGGTGAACTGGGCTGCATGGGAGCAGACGCTGCGTACGGTGTGTGAAGAGCCATCAGGGACAGGTGCACCTGGTGAGTAGCTGTGCTGCCTGGAGCCCCTGCCCTGTTTGTATGTGTGTGTATGTCTGCTTGGCCACACAGCCTTGCAGTCTGGGGAAGGACCCAGGGGCTGCCCACTAACATGGTGCTTCCTCCTGTCCTTTCCATCCCATGCCTTTGGTGGCTGGTTTTTAGGCAGTCACCTGGGAATGCTCTGTGCTCCCTGTACCCCAGCCTTCGCCTCACCCAGCACCCTTTGTTCTTTTCCTGTCCCCTCCTGTCCAGTTTCCAGTCACTTGCAACCTGTACCTGTCCCAGTGGTTATTTCCAGTCTGCCCCAGCTAGGCTTGGGGTGACCTTGGGCCCCCAGCAGCAAATATGTTAGGAAGGGCCCCTGCCCGACCACAGCACATGCAGCATCTCCCTGGGCCTCAGAGGCCCTGCCCTGTTCGAAGTCCACCTTGCTGACCCGGAGATGTCCCCCAACCCTTCACATCCTTGGGGAAGCCATCCCTAGGCCCTCCCCACCTCTCATTCTTGTCCCCCTCCCCACACCCTGTTCTAGTGTAGTGACAGCCCCTCCTGACCCCACTCTGCTGCCTCCATCAGGAGGAATGCCTTTCTTCCACCCTCGGAGGTCTGTTCTAAGGATCGGCTCTCTGCACAGCATACCCTTTCTTTCCAGAACCTTCAGTAGCTCCCACCTCATCTTCCACTGGCTCTCCTCCCCCCTTTCTCCCAATAAGTTTCATCTTCTTGGGCCTGTGTCCTCCACCCCCTGCCAGCTTCCTGAGCTGCCTGTGACCCCTGAGGTGGGAGTGCTTCTCTGACCTCTTCTGCCCTAGAGCCTGCTGGGTTCCCAGGCTCTCACATACCCATGGGTTTCCTTTCTGCCTTCTCTGTGTGTCTTTCTCCCATCACTTCAATGCCAGGATTCTGAAAGTCACTCTGTTCCTCACCTTGGGCCAAGAATCCCACACCCCCATCCCATGCCTCACTGCCTGCTAGTATCTCCACCTTGACATTCCCCAATGGGAATGGCCTTGAGGCAGCCCCACCAGGTCAATGTGTAACCCCACCCCTTTACCTTGGTGGGAGCCCCAAGACTGGCTCTCCCACCTGGAGCTGAGTGTGTGGACTTGTCTTCTCTGGTGGCCACACGTTCCTCTGCCCCACCCCATACTTGTGCTTCGGGCACCCCTGTAGGGTGGCCCAGCCTGCGCCGCACCTTCAGACAAGTCCTGCTCTAGGCTTATCCCACTCCAATCTGCTAAAGTGGACAAAAACTACACACAGCTCACACTGCACAATGCCTCCCACTGCCTGGAAGGCCACACTCCTCAGAGTGGAGGTCAGGGCCCACAGCTGTCACCCAGCCTGGTCCCCCTCCTCCATCCCCAGGGCAGCGGGTCAGTCAGTCTGCAGCGATTCTTGTTCTCTGCTTTCCGGCTCTTGTCTGTTGTGTGCCCCTTCTTCCCTCTGGGTGTCCAGACCTACCACCTCCCCTACAGGATAGGTCCTCTCTCTCCGGAGCTCCCTGAGCACCTAACTCCATTCCTTCCAACTCTTCAGCATGTCTCAGGCATTCAGGGCTCTGACATACAGGCCTGTCACCTCTGTGGACTTCAAACTCTCAGGATGGGGAAGGGGGAGCTCTTGACTGGCACCATGGGAGGGGTTCAGGAAATGCTGGTGGAAGTAGGGTGGCATGATGAGGAGTTGTGGGTCTCCAACATTACCAGCTGTTCACAGGGCATGATGTGCCCCTTCTGTTTCCCTAGTGCCTGCCTCCTAGGGATGCAATCAAGGGTCAAGCCACTGAGCTCCTCATTTATTTACAGGCACGAAAAAAGACCTCACCCTGGCTTCCCGACCTCAGGAGGCTGGTGCCTTGGAGGAAGACCATCTGCCTCTCCAGCTCCTCCAGTCCCACTGACTGTCTAGTCACAGCAGGAGTTGAGCAGGACGAATCAGGGGATTCCTCCAGCCATACCTGCTGGCTCTGGGGTCCCTGGGAATTTTGGTGGCAAATAAAAATTTTCTTTTCCACAGCAAAGTCTTTTGGAAACATTTGAGTGAAGTTGCAGGACCCCTTCGGCTGGTAGCCTTTGCATGTCTCTGTGTATACACCTGTGTCTGGGGCTAGGCTTCTTCTGTCTTTGCCTGGGCACAGAGACCCTCGGTCCTAGGACTGTCCTCTTCCTGGGTACAGGCAGCTGGTTGAGATGCTGTGTCCACTGTGGTGGTGGACCTGGGCAAATACAGCCACCAGACACCCATTGTGAGATTCCAAAATGTCTTTCAAACCTAGGCTTCTTTAAGCTCATTGGCTTAGTTCAGGCTCTGGATTATTTACTGCTTTCTCTCCCCATTGGGCAACCTGTTCAATCCCACCCCTCCAAGTCATTCTCTGCAGGGCATCAGGAGGGGTCCTTTTTTTTTTTTTTTTAGAGATAGAG